AGAGAGAGAGAGAGAGAGAGAGAGAGAGAGAGAGAGAGAGAGAGAGAAGGGGTAACAGCTTCTGTTTTTAAGGTGCTCATAGGGAAGGCAACATTCAAACGTTTGTATGTACATATATGCAAGATAAAATGGAGATAATCTCAGAGAGAAGATAATAGGGGATTTGGAAAGGCTCTTGTAGAAATTATGATTTTAGCTGAGACTTGAAAGAAGCTAGAGAAACTGGGAGGCAGGATGAACAGGAAAGAGTGAAAATGCATTGGAGCCAGTACAAGGAACAGCAATGAGGACAGTGTCACTGGATCACAGAATAAGTGAAGGGGAGAATAAGGTGTAAGTAGACTGCAAAGATAGAAAGGGGCTAACATATGAAAGACATTAAAAACTAAATACACTGGAAGAAGATCACTTTGATAGCTGAGTGAAGGGTGAACTGGAGTAGAGAGAGACAAGGCAGGGAGACCAATCAGAATCCTCTTGCAGTAGTTCAGGCGTGCAGTGATGAGGACTTGTAGCAGAGTGATGGCAGTATCAGAAAAGAGAAGGGGGCCATATATGAAAGACAGTAGGAATCAACAGAACTTGGCAACCGAATGGGTATGGAAGGGTGAGAAAGTGAGGAGTCAAGGACGTCTCAGCAACTGGTAGGATAGTGGTGTCCTTGACAGTAAGTCGGAAATTATGAAGAGAGTAGGATTTGGAAGAGAAAGACAATGAGTTGTTTTGGTCATGCTGCATTTAACATGTCTACTGGACATCAGTTTAAAATCTCTAATAGGGAACTGGAGATGTGAGTCTAGAATTTAGGAGAGAGTTTAGGGCAAGATCTGCTAATGTGACAACTCTTTTCAGTCCAGTCATTCAGCCAATTCTAAATGCATTTGACTGTTATTGCCTAGTTCATATCTTGTCTAAATTCTCTATGTGTTATTCTGTTAATCTAGGTATTTTATATTTTAAAAAAATATTCACTAGTTTCATTTAAATTTCCAGTTTTGTTGACATATAATTGATAAAATAGTTTGTAACAATTTTCTCTGTTTTCTCTTCATTTTTTCCCCTGAGGCCCTACTCTCCTAAAAGATGATTCTGTTTTCTAGACCAGGGCTTCTTAAACTTTTCCCACTCACAACACCTTTTCCATTTGTTGGCATTGCATGGCCAGAGGGCATGCTTTGTGTTCCTGAACCAAGGCTGTAGTGAAGTTGTGCCATGTAACACAGGCCAGCAATACCAGAAACACTTCAGATTCATTATGTGTTTGATTTTGAATTAATTTTTGGTCGTGTGTTTAGAAACCTTTTACTGTTGCCAAATGGGGTTGCTACTCATAGTTTAAGAAGCTCTGTACCTAGACCATCATGTAAGAGGAGCCACAGCTTCCTCTTACTCTCATTCCTAACTAAGCTCACTCAATGAATTTCTCTACTTTCCTGTTAGCCACCTTGCCTGCATTCCAGTTTTGTTCCACACATCTTCCTCTCCACTTTCCATCTCCGCTTTATGTGTAGTCTTCCCCCATTAGAATGTAAGCTGGAGTGTAGGAATTGTCTGCATTCTCAGAATTTAGCACAATGCCTAGTACATAGTAAGTGCTTACTAAATGCTCAATCAATCAATCTATCTATCCTATTGTGAATTCTTTTTCATTTTTTATTTTAGTAATTTGGTTTTCCTCTCTTTTAAATCAAATGAGTTAATGGTTTGTCTTTTATTAGTCCTAAGAAAACAACTCCTAGCTTTATTTAACTCAATAGGTTTTGTTTTTTCTCTCAATTTTATCTAGAGCCTCAATGACAGAACATTAGGTTACTGTTCAGTTAGTGAATAAGCATTTATTCAGTGCCTGTTATGTGCCAGGCACTATGCTAAGCGTTAGGGTTACCAAAAAAAAAAAAAAAAGGCAGAAACAATCCCTGCTCTCAAGGAGTTCACTGGTTAATGAAGGAGACATCATGCAAACAATTGTGTACCAACAAGATATACAAGGTAAAATGGGATAGTCTCAGAAGGAAGGCTCTGAGATTAAGGAGGACTTGGAAAGGCTTCTTATAGAAGATGGGATTTTGGCTGAGACTTGAAAGAAGCTAAGAGGTAGAGATGAGGAGGGAGAGACTGTTCCAGGCACAGGGGACAGCTGATGAAAAATGTGCAGAGTAGGGAGACAGTGTTGTATGTGAAGAACAGCAAAGTCAAAGGAACAAGGAAAGACAAACTCAGGACCTGGGAATAGTTTTCCTCTGATTTATATTATTTTAAGAGAAGAAAGAAAAGGTAGAGTAAAGGAAATACACTAGGAAAGAATGAAGAAATAGAGTGAGGCAATTAACAATTTCTCTTAACTCAGGTACATCAAGAGAAAACTACAAGCATGGAGGAGGCAGAGAGAGTGAACTGGAATCTCATGAACCTAACTTATCTGAACTAGGAAAAAGAAAGTTGAACACACACTCAGTACTGAAGTGGATTTGATCAAATGCTTTTTTTATAACTGTCATAAACACAAGGGAATCTTATAGACTGTACCTTTCAGCCAATTGTGAAATGATCAAGATATGATCCATTTTAGAATATCTCTTGTGAATGCTTACTTTTTCCATACTAATATCCTTTGGGGAATGTTCTGTAATTGGGATTAGATGATTATTTGAATAAAAATTTTATATAGATGGAAAAATAAGCATATTGGTCTATGTATATATGTCACGTATATTTGATCTTTTTGTTGTTAATAAGGTCTGAATTTTTAAAAAAATTATTGTTACATATTTACATTTACATATACATATATGCCATTATATATAATTGACCTCAAAGCTTTGGATTTAGTCTTTGATATTTATGTTGAATTTGAGATTTTCTTCAAGTCTGTGACCTGTGGAGAGTTGCAGAGAGAGCCAGACTCATCAAGTAGTGGCTTCAGGTTCAGATGAAGTGACATAACTCATTATGTGTATATGTTGTGGGTAAGAATACTGGTCATGCATTACTGTCCTCATGCACCCACAAAGCCAGTCACTATATGTAGTCACACACACACACACACAGAGTTTGATCACTGACCAAACAGAGGACCTATGATGAAGCATCTTTCGATAGAGAAGTGATGGAGAAACATTTTTTGACATGGTGATGGTGTGGATTTGTTTTGCTCGACTACTTATTTGTTACAAGGTTGTTTTTTTTTCATTCACTTGTTGATGGGGAAAAGGTTTAGAGGGAAAAAGGAGGTTTAGCCATAGTGATGTCCAAAAAAAAGGGCTATTCTCCCATTTTAAAAAATACATAGAAAGGAACAGAAGTAAATAAAATAATTGGGACAGTTTTGAAAGTAATTTGAAACTTTAACTTTTTTTTTAAAGCAAGTAGTATGAAATGGAGATTCATGGTTTCACATATAATCTTTTTGTGTTCTATTGTATATATGGCAATGCTCATTTATTGTGTGTGTTAGTTCAGAATTTAAAAAAAAATTAAAAATAAAATGATTAAATAAACCTCAGTAGGAGTCTTTTGGATTTCAACATTACATATTTATCTTTAAGGATCTCCAAATTTTTTTTTCTATTACTAGGCATGAGTTTAATTTTATTAAACTGGAGTGTTTTAAATGTTAAGAAATCATAGAAAACCCAAAAGAAACTAAGAACTCCTTGGGCATTCCCTGCAAATCAATCAGAAACATGTGAAGAGAAGTGAGTCAAAGAATCAAACTTTTCACTTGCCTTGTACATCTGTGGTTTAGGACCCAACCAAAGCATTGAGATAGTAAGATAAATTCTTAGTTGGGCCCTCATGGCTACATTACTTCTCTCTAATTAATTTTCTACCACATTCCCCATGGGAAATGTTTCAAATCTTTTCTCTTCAAGCCTCCCACACTACCCCTTTCTCTATCCTCTCAGCAAAAGACTTCACTCCATCATTTACTTAGAAAAGGGACCATTTGCCATGAGTTCTCTCTTATTCATTCATTCATTCATCCATTCATCCATCTGTCCATAAATCCATTTGTTTGTTTAATTTATTTAATTAAGTGTATTAGCTACATTTCAAAACCCCTTGACATCACCCCTTACTCTTTCCTCATTAATCCAGGTTCTAGTGAATAAGTGAGGGGAAGCTAGATGATGCAGGGGATAGAGCACTAGAACAGGAGTCAGGAAGATTTGAGTTCAGATCTGGCCTCAGACACTTACTAGCTCTTTGATCCTGGGCAAGTCACTATTTGCCTCAGTTCCTCATATGTAAAATGGGGACACACTAGGGAAGAAAATGGCAAACCACTCATATCTTTGCCAAGAAAATGTAGAATTGGACACGACTAAATAACTTAACAACAACAAAAGTGAATAGGTAGCCCTTCTACTCATCAATGCCAAGCTTCTATATGTACTTGCTCCCATTCCTTGTGTTCCTCCAGAAGATCGTCCTTGTAATTGCCTTATTTCTCTCTCTCACATTCACTCTCTCCCCATGCTACATACGGATATGCCTTGGTCTCCCTGTCCTTAAAAACCTTCACTTGACCCTACCATATCCTTAAGGTATCTTCCTATATCTTTCCTTTCTTTTACAGTTAAAGCCTTGGAAAAAAAACCAAACTATCTATTCTTGTCTCCATTTCCTTTCCTGTCACCTCTCAGTCCTTTGCAATCTGGTTTCTAACCTCATTCTTAACTGAAATTCCTCTCTCCAAATTTATCAGTGATCTCTTGATTGCTAAATATGATGTTTTCTAAGTTTTCATCCTTCTTGACCTCCACAGCATTTGATACTGTTGATCTCCCTCTCTTCCTGGATACTTTTTTTTGGGGGTGGGGTGGTTTGTGACACTATTCTCTTCTTCATGTCTGACTGCTCCTTCTCAGTTTCTTCTGATGATCTCGGATCATCATCCTTAGCCTGTCCTCTGTTTATTGTACCCTAAAGAATCTGTCCTTGGCTCTCTTCTCTCTACTCTCTCTTGTTGACCTTATAAGCTCACAAGTCTAATTAGTATAGCTGTGTAGATAACTTCATTATATATATATAGTGCCATGGTCACTCCTGAGCTCTAATGCTGCAATACCAGTTCTTAATTGTCAGTAAATTGTGCTCTTTAAATGCTACACTTTTTTGCACATTCCCTTGTAGTAACATCCATTCTTAAAGACCTCAGAATTAAAAATACAACAAAAAGAGAATAATGAAACACATGTATATGACACAAAATACAGCACTCAACTAATTGAGAAAAGAGGGGAAACCAGCTCAGTTCAGTTTCATCTGGTTAGGAGTTCTAAGTCAGTCTAGTGTGAATAGAAACACATACATCACTGCTTTGACAAAATGAAAGCATACTGAAATTATTGCTTGTCCCAAGCAATTCATATAGTTGCTAGAAAATATTCTAGAAAACTTACCCAGGTCTGTCCACAAGCAAGGATTGAGACTTCCACTTGTGCAGTGATAGATTAAAGTGGATTTTGGTCTGAAAAATAAGAGGAAAATTAGATAAGTACAGCATTGTAGAGGAGGAAATAAAATTATGTCTCGGGGAAAGTGGTTGTTTAACGATAGGCAATGATTTTCAGTGGCTTAGGGTTTCCTAAACAAGCCAGGACCATTGTCTTATTTTAGGGTTTAATTTTGCTAATTCACTTAGCAAAATGAAGCTGAGGTGGTAGAGGAAGGAATGTTTGCGGGTCAAACAGATGGGCAATATTTGTTCATGTCAGGTTTATGGCAATGCAAGACATACTACGGAGATGAAAACTCTTCCATAGGCTACAGGAAACTCTTGGATATCTTTGCAGAGTAAACAATTAGGCAGTTTTTTCCTGAATGTAACTAAGGTATGCTGTATCGGAAAACATCTAAACATTTGATTTTCCATATGGTAAATGACATTTTACTTACTACCATAAAATTACCAAAAGAAAAAAAATTGAGGCTATTTGCCATAAACTCTCTTTATCCATTTTCCTTATATTCTATCACTCAGATGTTTTATGCCATTTTCTTCTCCTTCAACCTTGTCTCACATGATGAAGTGGCCTTACTCCTTAATGAAGCTAAGCCTTCTATTTATTCAAGTGATCCCATTTCATCCTGTCAACTCCAAAAGATTGCCCCCTCTGCCATCCCTACTTTCCCTTATTTTCAATCTCTTCCTACTGGCTCATTTTCTACATGCCCATGGCTCCCCTATCCTGAAAAAACTCTCACTTGATCCTTCCATCCCAGCTAACTATCATCCTAACTATCTCTTCTGCTCTTTGTAGCTAAATTGGAATAGGCTGTCTATAATAGGTGCTTCTGCTTTCCTTCTTCTCACTTTCTTCTTAACCCATTACAGTTTGTCTTCTGACATCATTCTACTGAAATTGCTTTCTCCAAAGTTACTAATAATCTCTGAGTTGCCAAATTTCATGACTTTTTTTCAAACCTCATACTCCTCGACCCCTCTGCAGCCTTTGCCAGTTGACTCTGTTCTTGATATTGTCTTCTTTCTAGTATTTTGGGACAGCTCTCTCCCTGATTCTCCTCCCGCCTACCTGACTACTCTTTCTCCTTAGCTGGATTCTCTTCCAGATTACACTCTAACCATGGGTATCTCTCAGGGTTTTTTTCTTGTGCCCTCTTTTCTTCTTCTATACCACTTCATTTGGTAATCTCATCAGCTCCCATGGATTTAACTACCATTTCTATGCTGATGATTCTCAAATTGACCTACCCTGCCCCAAACTTTGTTTGACCTTCAGTATCACATCTCTACTTGTCATTCAGACATCTCTAACTGAATTCAGTATGCCCAAAAAAAGAACCTATTATCTTTCTCCCTAAACCCTAGCCTGCTTATTAGGCAACATCATTCTCCCAGTCCCTCAGGCTCACAGCCTAGGAGTCATTCTAGATTCTTGACCATCTCTTACTACCCCCTTTTCCAAGTTACTGCTAGTCAGTTTCTCAGTTTGATATGTCTCAAATATGTCCCCTTCCCTCCTCTGACTCTGCCACCACTCTAGTGCAGGCCCTTATCACTTTATACTTGGATTATTGCAGTAGCCTGCTGGTGGTCACTGCCTGAGTCTCTCCCCACCCCAATTCATCCTCTATTCAGCCACTAAAGTGTTTTTGTAGGTCTGATCACATCAATCTACTCCCCCCTCCCCTCACATTTCCTTTCCACCCCAGTAAACTCCAGTGACTTCCTATTGCCTCCAGAAGCAAATATAAAATGCTCTATTTGGCATTCAAAGCCCTTCACTACCTAGCTTCCTCTTTCCTTTCCATTCTTCTTATACCTTGTTCCCCAACATTTATTCTTCTGACCAGTGACACTGATCACCTGGCTGTTTCAAGAACAAGACATTCCACCTCTCCTCTCCAGGCATTTTTTTTCTGGCTGTCCCCCATGCCTGGAATACTCGCCCTTCTCCACTCTGACTATTGACCTCTCTGGTTTGCTTGAAGTCCCAACTAAAATCCCACCTTCTAGAGCTTCCCCAACCCATCTTAATTCAAGTGCTTTCCTTCTGTTAATGATTTCCCAATTTATCCTATACATAACTTGCTTTGTATATATTTGTTTGTATCTTGTCTCCCCTCTTAGATTGTGATCTCCTAAAAGGTGGGAACTGTTTTTTGCCTCCCCAGTGCTTAGCACAGTACCTGGCACAAAGTAGGTACTTAAGGTTGATTGATTGGCTCATAGAGCCAAATAGACAAATAATAAGCAAATAAATTCTAGTAACATAGTTCCACATACATGCTACTAAGAATTTTTTTTTGTTTTTGCTTTTTGGTGAGGCAGTCGGGGTTAAGTGACTTGCCTAGGGTCACACTGCTAGTAAGTGTCAAGTGTCTGAGGCCAGATTTGAACTCAGATCCTCCTGACTCCAATACTAAGAACTTTTAACATTGTTCTAGTGCCAAGCTAATTTTTGAAGTGCTCCATTCTGCCCTCACATCTTAACTTCCCTTTAAGAAGGAAAGATCCTTTTGGGAATCATAGTGGTATAGCAAGTGCATTGGGTTTAGAGTCATATGGTTTGCTTTTTTTAGCCTCTGCATCTGTGGTCAATAGCTGTGTGGCCTTATTCAAATCACTTAACCTCTCTCTGAGCCTTAGTTTCCTCATCTTTAGAAGGGGAATATTATTAATTAAATTAAGCAAATAAGGTAATAATTAATTGGATTATAATTAAAATATTAATTTATAATACATATTAATAATTAATATAATGGGGATAATAGTACCTACCTTATAGGAGAAAAAAGCACTTTGTAAAAATACAAAACATTATATAAATATGAGAAGTTTATATCATATATAGAAATACTAATTTTTGTGGGCTTACCTATTTTTCTGAAGCTATCTAATGTCACTAACCAAGCTCTCTGATTATTGTATACCTGACAAAAGTAAAACAGTAACCGGCGGTAACCACAGGATTTGTTGGAAAGCTTAAATATTTCATGACCATGTGAGTAAAGCCTTTCTTAGGCACCCTCGTGCATATAGTATTGTACTCCTTCAAAAAAGAGAGGCTTAATAGACACCATTTCTCAGACTTGAGATCTTCCATTAGAAAAATCTCCTTTGTTTTAAAACGCACCCAGCACACTAATCTTCCTTGTCACCAGCATTACCAGAAGCACATCCATACCTGTGAACTGCAGTGTGCCACCCTACTGCCAGGGTGAGGTTAATGACTAGATCCACTGGGACCACATCTGCCACAGCTGTTGGAGTGGCCTTTATGGCCCGTAGAAACCCTTTCCCAGCCTGCACAATGGACATGAACATAATTAATATCAGATTTTCAGTCAGTGTTATAGCTCAAATAGCTATCCATTCAATTTTTAAAGTCTCACTTGAATATTCTTTGGTACTCTTGGGCACTGACTTCCCTTTGCCCATCAGATCAAATCTAAACTCATCCAGTATAGAATGGTTGACAGATTGCTGGGCTTTGAGTCAGGAAAAGCCTGGGTTCAAAGCCTACCCTTGACATTTACTAGCTCTATTATGGGCAATATCAATTAAGCTGTTTCCTCATCTATAAAATGGGGACAATAACATCCACTGTTGAGAGGCAATGTGGTGTCAAGAAGACCTGGGTTCAAATCCTATTTCTGATGGACACTGGCTATATGACCCCAGAGGAAGTCATTTAGCTTCTCATTGCCTTAGGTTAGCTCTCTAATACTGTAATTTGCAGAGCAGATACAAATCTGCATTGATCCTCTATCAATTTTTTTCTCACTGTATTTTCTCACCGTAAATTCCATAAGCTAGTAAAATCAGAGGTCAGGTTTAAAAAACAACAACAAAATAACACACCAATAGTATTGACTTTGCTTTGTTTTTGTGAGGCTGAAATGAAATGATGTATTTCAAGTGCTTCTCAAACTTTAAGGTGCTACAGAAGTGCAAAGTATTATTATCTTAGATTTCAAGACCTTCTCTAATCTAGCACCTATCCAACCCTGTATTCTACCACCGCCTAATATGAACTCTCTTCTAAAAGTGCTAAGCATTCATGTAGTTCTCCTTACCCGAAATGCCTTCCCCCACATCTGAATTTCTCTAAATTCTATCCATTTTTCAATCTATCTCAAGGTTCATCTTGTTCATAAAGTTAATAGCTTTTAGGCTACATTGGTCTGTCTTTTTCTCACAGCTCTTATTGTCAAATTTGTGTGTGCTAGGGATGTCTCAAACTTAGCATATCCAAAACTGAACTCATTATTCCCCTCCCCCCAAATTTCTTCCTCTTCCAATCTTGGTTATTTCTGTCAAAGACACCACAATTTTTCCAGTCTACAAAATTTTTAACCTTAATATTATCCTTGACTCCTATTTCTCTCCCAACCCAATCAGTTGCTGAACCTTACTGTTTCCACCTTTATTATATCTCTGGCATCTGGCCCATTTTCTCTATGTACACAGCCACCACCTCATCACCTCTTGCTTGTATTACTGCAGCCTCCTGTTTGGTCTCCCATTCTGGTCCATTCTACACAGTGCTGCCAAACTGATTTTCCTTAAGTGCAGCTCTGACCATGTTACTTCTGTACTCAATTAATTCTAGTGGCTCTCTTTATATTTATAAACTTGAATGTTTATCTTTTAAAGCCCTTCATACCTGACTCCAAACTCTTTTCAGCTTTATTGTACTCCTCTCACATTCTGTGAGACCAGCCAAACTGGTCTTCTCTCTGTTTCTCAGACATGATATTCCTACTATCTCTGTGCTTTTGCACTGGCTGTCCCATGTGCCTGGGAGACACCTCCTTATCTCTGCCTTAGAATTCCATTCTTTCTTCAAGTTATAAGAAACTCAAGTTTCTACCTAAAGTCTTTCCTGATCTCCTCAGCTGCTAGTTTCTTCCTTCACTAAATGCCTTGTATTTAATTAAATTATTTGTATTTATTTTCTTTATGCTTATTTTGGATATGCTTACATATGTCTTTGTTGTCATCTCTATTATAGTATAAAGTCCTTGCAAGTAAAAAATATTTCACTGATTCCTAATATATTGCCCATAACACACTGGTGTTTAATAAATGCTTATTGATTAATTATATTTTATCTTATATTATTTCATGACCCATTTCTCCTCAGAAAGATTTTAAGTTCTTTGAAGGTAGGGACCATGTAATGGCTTTTGTATTCACACTGTGACTAGTACAGTGTTGATTACTTCACATGTGGTATAGTAGAAGAGAGTTGGAACACCAGGGTTCAGTCCTGGCTCAGATACTTATTCACTTCTTAGTCTTTTTTTCAGTTGTGTCTAACTCTCTGTGACTCCATTTGGGGTTTTCTTGGTAAAGATACTGGAGTGGTTTGCCATTTCCTCCTCCAGCCCATTTTACAGATGAGGGATTGAAGCAAACAATCTGAGGCTGGATTTGAACTCATGAAGATGAGTCTGCCTGACTCCAGGCCCAGTGCTCTAGCCTCTGTACCACCTAGCTGCCCACTTATTTAACACTAGCTACATGATAATTCACAAGCAATAACCACTATGAGCTTCAGTTTTCTCTTCTGTAAAATGGAATTATTAATAATTATACTATTTCACAAGGTTGTTGAGGAAAGCCTTTATAAAATTTAGAGTGTTAGACAAATATGAGTTATTTTCATTATTGTAGTAGGTACTCGTAAATGCTTGTTAAACTTGAACTTTAAAGTGAATTTAAATTTAAATTTAAACTGAAATGAATTGGAGCCTAAAAGACAGATATCGCTGCCTGATGACAGATACCACACTGGCCAAGGAGACCACTGAAAGTGTTTCTAGAAATGGTAGGGATGAAAAATATTCCTTTTCAGATCCCTGGTGATTTGTCCAGAAGGGAGCCTGGGTGATCCTGGAACTACATTTTCTTCATTTCTACTTTTGCCACTGGGTATTTGGAACTTTGTACTCAGCTGAATTTATTTAGTGAAAAGTTGTTGAATTTAACTTGACTTGAGAAAAACATCTTCTCTGACTGGAGAGAATCAATATCCAATTTTTCCTCTCCCTAAAATAAATTGTTTTCAAACAAAGAATGGTAAAAAAAAGGCAGTATTGCTTCTCCCTAAAATAGTTTTAAAACAAAGAATGGTAAAAAATAGACAAAAGTGTGAAATAATAGGATTAACATTAGTATTTCTGGCAATCCTGTATCCTTCTGGGTGAAAATAATTGCTCTTTGGAAAGTCCAAAACCAGAAATGAGCACAAAAATATTAAGATCTGAATCTGAAAACATACCACTTCAGAGGCTACTGGGTTTGGTTGTGGTAACTTTTTACTCACAACAATCCTAGGCGCTGAGCCAAAGTACAATAAAATCATAGCATGTTAGAGGTGGGAGGCCATCAAGTACAGCTCCCTTATTGTAGAGATGAGGAAATTGAGATGCAGAGATGTCAAGTAACTGCTGAAGTCATAATTACTAGGAGTTGAATTAGAGCCCAGGTCTCTTAATTTTTAGTTCTATTTTGTCAGCCATACTATCCTGTGTCAATAATAATCTTAAAAAAATGTAACATTTCAAGCAAAAATATGGATATACATTGTCAGACATTTTCTTAGTTAATTATTGTCTAAAATACATCACAATCCCTATTTCCCATTTGCAAAGTCGGGGTAATGTGTTCCAACTGATGTTAGTGAGATAATATGTGTATCTATATTATGTAAATAATATGTATATGTAAACACACATGTATTTATATATATGTATTATACATATGTATTTGTATATACACTGCATATGTATATATTGTGTACTGTATATACATTACATATTATGTGTATATACATATATATTTTACTAACATCAGTTGGAACACATTTATATATATGTATATGTATATAAATATAAATAAAATATGTGTGTATACATAGACCCTGCTTTCATAATATTTATTTATATATCCTATAGGATATATAATTCTCTCTAAATAAAGATATACTAAATATAGGATATATACATATACATATATACACACACCTACATATATATGTACTACTACTATTACTCCTGCTTAAATCCTAGAGAAACAAATTATTGTTTCACTATTATACATACCGCAATCATGAGTCCACTTGGTCCGTTTAAGTTATCCACCCAACCCTGAAAAAGAAAGCTCTGCATTTTACACAGAACACGATCTGTGAGATTTTTGTTTTTCTGAAAACGTAAGCAACTTCAAGGCATACGCTAGCTTTATCAGTTCCTACCAAGCCAGGGAGTTTAAAAATTCTATAGAACTGAATCTCAAAGGATGTAGTTTTAATATAGACACTTGGGGGCAGTAGAGAGAAAATTTGTCTTAAGCTGTATAGAAGCATTTTATGAGGGTTTAGTACTAAAGCCTTTTTTAGTCAAAATTATCCTTTATAATCCATTAAATTGCCCATAAAATAGAGTATTGTATTTTTAAACAACTGTAGCTAGAAAAGAAGTAGGTAGATTTAAAGGAGTGCTCTGCATCATAGCTGAGGGATCTAGGATGATTATTATGGAAACAATTGTTTGCAAATTTTATTTATATCCAGCTAAGCTATTGGTGAGGAGAAAGGGCTAAACTAGGAATTCTAGTCAAAAGGAAGAAAACAAAAACAGGTAAGTACTTGGTTGGCAGGAAAATTTATGATTGGGGGAATATACTATCAAAGGGCATTCACACGTAAGTATTATCATACTATAAAGTGAATACCCCATAACATAAAGGTTTCTTTTTTCTGCTTTATTATGAAGCAAGAGAGGACACAAGGAAGTCAAAGAGATATCAAGGAACTTTAGCTGACCAGGAAAGCCTGGAAGGCCACTTAAGACTTTATCTCTTGTTACCTTTATCAGCCTAAGCTAAATGAAAACAAAACAAAACAAAACAGAAAACTATAGACACTGTGAATGGGAGAATCTAGTCATACTTGATTCTGCAAGATGCCTGCCCTATGGAAGATGTGCAGGAACCAAGACCAACTCAAGGAGCAGCAGACATATTTCTCATCTGCTCACTTAAGGGCCCACACTTATTGAGGGGAATGTCAGGGCACACTTTTTCTCCTCTTTTTTTTTTCTTTCAGACCATATAGTTAAATTCACCTAAGTTAAATGCCATATGATGTGACTCCATTGTTCTTAGTCCTTAAGACAATAGAAGATTTTAAGTCACTTGCTCTTTTATGCATGTCCTACACACAAACACATACACATATTTTAAGGTGTATTTTCCCACATTTCAAAGCAAAACTCACACCTGTACGTCATGGAAACTTTCTTTTAAAACTCAAGGGAAGTACATATACTACACCCCTTTTATTTAAACTATTGCTTCTATATTGAGATGCCCCACACTGTAATATTGGAGTGAAGCTAAAAGTCATAAGCTGATTATTAAAATTACTATATTCTTGAAACTGGGCCAGTTCTAGCTAGTGACCTTGGAGTCACTAAGGACTGCTTCAACTTAGCACTGCATTCCTGTGAGCAGTGGTTCTGTGGAGTCCGTGAAATATATATGTATATACCTATATATTTCTGAGACAGAAAATTTAGCTAGTGGGAAGAATAATGAACCAGGACATGGATAGAAGCCTGGATTCTTGTTGCAGCTTTCCTACTAACTAGCTATGTTGGCCTTAGACAAATCAACTAATCTTTTTCTTTGTCTTAGTTTCTTGAGATGTGAAACTTCATAGGTTGTAGAGACCATAGAATTAGAACATAGGAGCATATCTTGAAAGATATAGAGTACTATGCCAGGTATCAGTATTCCCAATCTAATGCACAAACTAGTGCTGTGTCTTCTTTTTTTCACTCATAGCACCTCTTTATTCTCTAGAATTTGAGGTTGGTGACACAGGAAATTCCCAGTACCATCCTGAACAACCTGAATCCAAGAACTCCTTGAGATGGGGAAAGAACAATATGGGGAGTTCATTTAAACTCACCCCAACTAAGGCCATTGTCAGTATTGGAAGTGCCCTTCCCAGGGAATCCCCAGGCAAGAATTCCTTAAATCCATCCATTAGGATTTTTCCTGAACTGGATCAGTGTTCAGAACATCACAAGTCCATCTCATTAAGTTCCTTAGGATATCTCTTAGACCCTGAGCAGGAAAGAAGGCTGCCAAAGTAAAATGAATCTGGAAGCATCAGGAAGCAAAAGTAAGAAGCCAAAGGATTGGGTAGGCTTACTGGAAAAGGCTCCTGCCAGCTAGCTCCAACGATGGATGGTCTTATGATAGCAACATTTAAGTTCCCTTGTTCTTGATACACCACCATCTCTCCCAAGGCCTTGGTATATGTATAAGTGTTGGGTCGATTCTCGATCAATTTGGGTGTGATTTCTTCAATGATTGAATCATCTAACCACCTGGAGGGCAGGGAAAGTAAAAAAGATCTATTGGTATCTATTAAACACATTAAGAAGAAAATAGTAGGCACATACAGGAAATCATCAGAGGCAGGATTGCTAGCATTTATATAGTGCCTTAAGGTTTATGAAGCACTTTTATAGATATTATCTCATTTTGTCCTCATGACAGCCATAAGAAGTAGGTACTATTATTATCTCCATTTTATAGATGAGGAAACAGAGGTTAAGTGACTTGCCTAGGTTCACACTGTTGTTCATCCTTAATTTCAAAGAGGACTAATGATACAGAGGGGTGATGTCTTGACTTTCATGTCAATTGGATTTAAGTGGGGCAGAGTTGCACAAAATTGTCAGCCTCACTTTCTCTTCCAGAGTCATCAAAGTCGAGTGGCAAGACAAAAGTCAAGACAACCAGTGATGGCCTGGAATGCACTGGATGAGCTTGGATATCTTTGATGTCTGACCAAGGTATAAACACTCTGCAGTGCCTGCTTCAGTTGCCTTCATGGCCATTGGAACAAATTGTTCTCATTCACCTGTTCCACCAGGGGAAGTTTTCACATGCTTGGGGTAGACATTTCCCTAACTCACTGATGGGTTTGAGTGAAGCCTGTTGGTTACCTTCAACCTGGTTTAGCTCATTTGCTAAGACAGTTTTACTGGGGTATGGCTATTGTGCATGCTACAGCTTCTTGGAACCACAAGTGACAGGTAGACACCAAAAAGTGGATGAGTAGCCCTGAAAAGTGCTCAGCAAAACTTCATATAGCTCATAAATGTCTGAGGCTGGATTTGAATTTAGGTCTTCCTGACTTCTGATCCAGTGCTCTATCTTTTGTATCACCTCTCTGAGTTCTGGGATTCAGAGCTTTGCTATACCAGTTTTGCGTAATGGAGAATAGTGTTATTAATGTTTTTGGTGATGCCTTTCTTTTTATTATTGCTCCTACCTAGTAAATTCTCCCAGGTCTTGTTCTTTCTGGAAGCTGGCTGAGATAAATCCAGGCAATATCTCTTTTTTCCCTTTCTAACTCTCCATAGTTTTTATTGCCCATAACATAACAATAATAATAGCTATCAAAATAATAGTACATTGCAAAGTACTTTACATGTATTAATTCACTTGAGCCTCACAATAACTATGTGGTAGTTGCTATTATTTTCCCGCACTCAACAGACAGGAAATTGAAGCACATAGAAGTCAAATGACTTGCCCAGGGTTACACAATTAGTGTCGGCGGTCTAGATTTGAACTCGTCTTTCTGATTCCGAAGTGGTCCGCTATATCCACTCAGCCTCCTAGCTGCCTCACACATCTATTTTGATTGAGAGCATTCAGTTAAACAGATTATTATACATTGTCTTAAGATAACAGAATAAGAGATTTAGAACTAGAAGTTTTCAGAAGTCTAATTTTACTCTTTACTCTTCATTTTACTGAACCCTAGAGGGAACAAATATAGTGCAATAGAAATGTGCCTGCATTTTAAAAAAAAAAGACATCTGTCATTTAAAAGTTTGCATTGTTTTGCATATATTATCTTATTTGAGCTTTGTAATATATTGGTACTGTAGGTATTCCAGGTAATCTTTAATAGATGAGGAAACTGAAGCTAAGTGACTTATCCATGCATACATAACTAGTAAATATCAGAAGCTGGATTTGAATTTAGGTGTTTGTAATTCCAATGTCAGCATTCCTCTGCCAACTCTATCATGCTGACCTCCCAGAGGACCCCAGTTTGAGGTGTGTGATGTTGGGAAAGTCACCTTCTCTGGGCTACCAAATTCCTAAAACACTGGTTGGACCATGACTCTCCCATGATCCAAGAGATTCAGTGGCTTTATATTGCCTTTAGGATCAAATAAAAACTCCTCACTTTGGCATTTAAATCTGGTTCCAACATATCTTTCCAGACTAATTTCACATTATCCTCCCCTCATGCAGTCTGTATTCTAGTGAACCGACCTACTTGATATTTTATAGATTTGAGATTCCATATCTTACCTCCATGCCTTGCACTGGTTGTCTCTTTTGCTTGGAATACCTTTGCTCCTCAGCCCCTTCTCTTGTGATTACTAGTTCCCTTTAAGACTCAGTTTATGTCTCCTCCTAAATAAGGCCTTTCCTTTTCCCGCCAGTTGTTAGGCTCTTCCTTCTTGCCTTTCCAGTCTTCTTGAAACTTATTCCCCTCTACCTACTTTGCTATCCAGTGACATTGGGCTTCTTGCCATTCTTCGAATAAGACTCTATCTCTTGACCATGCATTTTCACTGACTGTCCTCTATGCTGAAACACTCTCTTTCTCCTCATCTCTACCTCTTGGCTTCCTTAAAATCTCAGCTGAAGTCCCATCTTCTGTGTAAGAAGCCTTTTTCAGTCCTCCTTAATTTTCATGCCTTCCCTCTGAGAACAGCTATCTATATCTATATATTTATCCTGTATGTATCTTGTTTGTACATATTTGTTTCATGTTGTCTCCTTCATTAGAATGTGAGTTCCACGAGAACAGGAACTGTCTTTTGTTTTTGTATACTCAGCACTTGGCACAGTGCCTGGCACATAGTAGACAATAAATGTTTATTGATAGACTCAGCTGATATAGTTATGGAGGACCCAGGATGCAATCACAGTGTTAAGGTAAAGTTAAACTGAATTATACACATATATACACAAATATATATGCATATATGTAATTATACATATATATATATAAAACATATATAATTATACACTTAGTCAAGAGAGCAGCAGTAGGATTGGCTGAGAAAGCAGACTGGCTATACCTATGCTGCTTTGAATAGCTAAGTCTTGAGGAGTTCAAAGCAGTCAAGGCTGGGAACATTGATGGAGCGATATTCTGTGGTGGTAGCGATGGAGTGGGGTGGGGGTGGTAAAAAGTATTTCTTTTTCCTCTTCTCTCCACCCCACATTGGTCATGACAATAATAGAGTGGGAGACACCAACCACATCCAGCAGTTCAAAAGACGTGTAGTCTAGGAAGTTGCCTGTGGAAGAGATTCCTATAAGAGGGGAGGAGGGAATTTCTTCTTCCTCTCCTTGGCCCTCCCTGACCCTAGCATCAGCCGTATCACTTTGAATCAGAGCTCCTTGACCATCAGAAAGACACTAGATGTATCAGGGAGCAGAGACACATTCCAGACAGACATTGATACAGAAAGTCACCAAAGGAAGGAAACAACTGCAAGGAGCTAGCTGTCAATATTTGGACTGGTGGGAAGGAGCTGAGATCTTAAGAGTCTAGCTCAGCAAACTATCCACCCAGCAGAGACACTGTATCCAAGAAGAACTGCAGAGAACCCTGAGAACAGGCAAATTCCAGGTCCTATGAGTTGTTGATGCCATACACATATCCTCCATGTGTGCTTCACCACCATTGTATTCCAAGTTTGAACCCTAATCTTTTCACGTATTTGAGGTGTTAGGTGGCACCATGGAGCAGCCATAGAAAAATATATGACTTGCATATATGTAAAGTACTCCCTCATTTAGTTTAGGGTCATATTGAAGAGAAAAGATTCAATAGTCACAGACATGAAACAGAACTATAGGATGCTAGAGTTGAAATGAGATTGCCTAAATTTCAATCATGACTAATATTTACTACATTTCATGCCCCTTAGTAAGTCACTAAGAGTCATAGAATTGTTGAACCCAACTCCCACTGGCAGTTTACAGACTGGATAGAAGGGCTACTTGGGTTCTAAGGGTAACCCTGTGGGTGGCTACTCCTACTACTATATCTCATGAACTCCTACTGCTATGTTTCTCATTCACAGTTAGCCTGTAGACATGACTGGTTCTCAGCAAAAGCATTTACACAAATGATATAGCAAGAGCAACTCTTACAAAACACAATCCCCATAAACTTGTGGTGGGCTAAGCCAATATAATAAAAGTGACAATTATACTTAAATTAATTAATTTACTCAGTGCCATACCAACCTACAGATTAATTTTATGATTTTTTTCTAGCTCTATAAAATAATTTTAGTAGGTTGAAGTATAATCAATTATCATATATTATCAACATGTTACAATTTTTTTCATCAATGATTTAGATAAAAGCACAGGTGGTCTTCTTTTAAATTTTGCCATTGACACAAAGCTGTGAGGAGTGTCTAACCATATATTGGAAAACAGAGACAGAATAAAAAAAGATTATAACAGGATAGCACAGACTTAATGAGATGATTTTGCCAATGTGGTCCTCTCTTTCCCCAGCAGCAGTTACCGTGGCTGTGAACACATGGTAATGAGACCATATGTTTGCCTAGGTGAGCCTGAAACTGGACTGCAAATCTTTAACTCTCTTCTAATTTGTATTTCCTTCCATGAGTACAGGAAACTGAATAGCGACCCTGAAATGTGTGTGTATGTATATGTGTGTGTATGTATATGTGATGTATGTATGTATGTATAATGTGTATGTATATGTATATGTATGTATGTATTTTGCCTTCTCTCATGAATTTATGAGGTCCAAAGTCATTGAATTAGGTGCTGGTTATCCTATAGTATTTCCTGTAAAACTATACCCCTCTTAGAAGAGATGAAGATCATCAGGAAAACAGACTATGGATAGCCTAAAGCTTTGGACCTTGAGTTGCTGCATAGATAGTATATAGATCAGAGGTGAATGTGAAATACAGTTATCCCTTCCACATTGTGACTTTCCTCATCACAATTATAATGTATCACAAGTTGGCATAAGAAATTAAAAGTAAATTTTTGGAAAGTTTTGCAGAAGCCACAGATGATATGCGAAGGCCAGCAGATGACAGAAAAAGTTTAGAAACTCAGAAATGCATTATATATAGTATTGTATAATATCAACCCAAATTTTACAATAAGGTACTGTAAACACCCCATAAAAGAAAAAGAAATTAAAGAGAGAGCCAAAAAATTTTATGTGGATTCTCCAGATTGTGGGGGCACCCCGTTCCCCTAACCCCCTGTGATGTTGAAGGGATAACTGTATGTGTTCAGTAGTTCCATGAGTTTCCTGATCTTATAGAGTTGTCTGGGGGCCTTGAGGACTTAAATGAGATGCTCAGGGGCGCACTTCCAGTATTACGTATGTATGTACTTATGTATGTATTATGTACACACATATGCATATGTATATATGTGTGTACACACATACATATTCTATTGTATGTGTATGTGTGTGTATATTTATATATCTATATCTATATACAGAGAGAGAGAAAGAGAGGTAATCTCCTACCCACTATAGGGTACATACCCTACAATTTTACTCCTTGAACTTCCAGACTACTACTGCTACTTTCAAATGGCAGAGTGCTCACTACAGCAAGGTAGCCTATTTCATTTATGGACAGCTCAAATGGGTAGAAAATTATTCATTGTACTGAGTTAAAACCTATCTCCTTATAGCTGCTGTTTGTTTTTAACACCATTTTGATAATCTGTTACTAGCATCAAGTCTGGTAACAACCATCATGAAGTAAAGCAGAGATATCACCTGACTGACAAAGGTCTCTATAGTCAAAGTTGTGGTTTTTTCATTAGCAATGTATGACTGTGAGAGCTGGATTATAAGGAAAGCTGAGTGCCACAGAATCAACACTTTTGAACTGTGGTATTGGAAAAGACATTTGAGAGTCTCTTGGACAGAAAAGAGATTAAATCAGTCAGTACTTAAAGAAATTAATTCAGGCTACTCACTGGAAGGTCAAATACTGAAGCTGAAGTTTAAATACTTTGGCCACATAATGAGAAGACAGGACTTAATTGGAAAGACCCTGATATTGGGAAACATTGAAAGCAAAAGGAAAAGGGGGTGGCAGAGTTTGAGATGGATAGATGGCTTCATGCAGACAACAAACATGAACTTGGACAGACTTCTAGAGATAGTGAAGGATAGAAAGGCCTGGTGTGCTATGGTCTATGGGGTCACAGAGTCATACATAACTGAATGACTGAACCACGACAAAAAGCAAGACATAACCTTAGAATTATACGTCAGAATTTAATTATCTTTGTAATGAAAGACAACAAATTCCCATACTTAAATTATAGGCTTATACTACATACTAAAATTATATTGGAGAACTCAACCAATAAACTATATTGAGACCAAATCATTATCATAGGCTGGAATGTTGGTTGCCCACAATTGCCTCGGCATAACTCTATTACATGAAACCTTAATAACAACCTCTTTAATAAATGCTGCCATACTAAATAATCAAAATCTCCAAGCTACATGGAATCAAAAGATTTAAAAAGACAAAGGGGAGATAACAATCCTATGAGAACAGGATAAAGTACACAGCAACCTTGTTGCCTAGTCACTAGAGATCTACTAAGGCCATTTTCAGTGAGCCTACAGAGGGTATTTATAGTCTAACATTTATTCAAGCATAAGAACCCAGCAGTTTTTTCCACCATTATGACAATTTATAGGATATGAAATATTAAAAAAATAGAAAAGTAACACCTCCTGGGATGGTTTTACTCTGGACTATATTTAAAAATATAGGATGAGATAAATAATAATAATATTGTTTTAATAATAATAACTTGTTACTTTATAAAGGATAGTGAGCTTCTGCTACATATTTTTAGCCCCCTGATTATGTCGTTCTAAGTATCCACTAGATGCTAACTTTTTACAACCTATAGTGATATATCACATGGTTCCTACCACTTTATTGAATAACCTGCATTAATATTACAATAATAAAACTCTTGCAGGAATAGGATGAGTTATTTATCACTTATCATCCTGCCTGCAGGTATTGTCATACTGAGGATGCTGACAGTCACCCTATAGAAAATAAACTTACTTTTAATATTTTTATTCAGGTATGAAAATTAAATTATATTTTATCCTGTGTAATGATTTATTAAACATAAAATAATAACAGGATAGTAACTGGTTGCAGGAGCATTTCTCTCTGAACCTCACTGAATAGGATAAGAATGGAGCGATGATGATGACAATGGTGATGATGATTACAGCTGACATTCATACAGTCCCTACAAAGTACATCACATACATTATCTCATAAGATTGAAATAGATAAACCCTTCTGTTGCAGAGCTTTGGTTGCAACAAGGTGAACATGGGTCAAGCAAAGATTACTATGTTTCTTATTTTAGGCCAATTTTTTTAGCCTTTATAATGCCTTTCCAATTGCCTCATCATTGGAAGTGAAACTGTTTTCTCAGAGATTATGCCAATAAATACAAATCCTAGGAAGACATTCTGTGTTAAAAAGGCTTGGAAGTATAGGCCCAATGGATTGTCCATCTTTGGGTCTTTTGGCGTCTATGAAAATCTTCTATTCTATTGTATATAGTTTGACTCTACTAGTACCCATACTTAAGATCTAGAAAAGTTAAATCATATAGATTTAAGGATAACTAATTCTTAACTGTTATCAATATGTTGGCTAAACTGAGCCATAGAAGGAAAAAAATTAAGTGTTATAATTGATATTTTTCCTACTCTATGTAGTGAGACTGAATTAACCTACATGAGGTCATCTCATGGAGCATGTTAATAGTTCCTATTCCTGGTCCTGGTTGAACACAGGGGTACTCAGTGCTAAAGGACTTATATTTTGAGATGACAGAGTTCTTTTTAGGGCTGGAACAGATGATGGCTCCGAGAATGTATAAAAAGGAGTTGCCATCAGGACTGTTTTGAGCAGCTTCCTGAGAAGAGGGTAGGAGAAAGGTGACTTGTTATCTTCACACCCATAACGCTATGAGTTATTTAAAACATTTAAAGACATTTAAAACACACACATGATGTAGGCTAGCCTGAGCTTGGGTTTGGGCTGCTTCTTTTACTATTTTTTTATATCCTGATCTTAGACAAACAAATATGTTTGTCTAAGATAGATGTGTCCAGGCTTGAAGATAAATTTGTGAGTTTTACGAGATGCAAAAATCCCTTTGAATTGGAGGTAAATGGTGGCAGGGGAAGAGTTCCCAGTAATTACTTCAGAGCTTTTGCAGAGGAAAGCCAATGACAAGAGGATTGGCCCTAGCCTGGCCACATACATATTGGGAGATATTTGGACAGTGTAGATTCAAGGTGAAATATAAAATGCCCAATTAACAGTCCTACAAACTGCTTTCTGATGGGCTTTAACTATCAGCCTCCCTGCAAATTGTAATAGAAGTTACATATTAAGTTGCCGAATCCAGTTTTAAGTTTCTGCTTTGTCAAATGTGTGGTTATGAGTCTTTTGAGTGTACAAATACTAAAGAAGCATAGATAGTGTAGAAGAGAAGGAAAGAGACAGAATGTGGAAACACATTATAGTGTTTCTGAGAGCAGGCCAATGTCTTTAGAAGAAATTGATCTCTGGAAAGGATAACAGAAACTGAAAACTACTTTTGCTGAATAGTTAGAGAGAAAGTAAAGATTACTCTGCTTGAGTAGGTCAGGGGCATGATGGCTCTTGCCCAATATCTCATAATTGAAAAGCAGCTTATAACAAAAGGATAAAGGAAATTCCTGTTCTTTCTTAGGAGAAATTGTTCTGGTTCTAGCTAGTAGTATTTTTCTTATCAATTAATTTTCTCACTCATCACTTACTAAGCAATCTTATCTCAACTTTTTGGGGACATATTACATTCATTAGAAAATGTAGAATGGCTGCCTTTTCTGATACTCTCAAAATGCCTCATGATCTTTAGAAGCTTAAGCCTTTCTTTTGGGATTTTGCTAACTCTTTTCCACCCCTCTTTCCTTATACCCACATACTCAAAATTATTTTTCCCTCACTGAAATAGGAGAGGCCACAGGCCACGGCAACGTAGACAGAACCAGCATCAATGAAGGGAATCTTACATTAATAACTACTTCATAGTCTTGGAGGGTAGTGGTAGGGGAGGATTTCTATAGAAAATTAGAACAGGCTGGGGTGGGGTGGGGAAAATCATATTTGATACAACTTACTCTACTGAGTCAATCAGTTTCTTGGGTTCCACAGAACATGGGTAGATAATTTCATCAATGTACTTCAGGTTACAGTTTGAATAGGCAGTGGAGAAATGGATGAAGACTTCAAGTTTTGACATCTGGCTGGCCATCAACAGAAGCTGCTGGGTGGCAATGACGTTGAGTTGCAAAGCATGTCTAGAGGACGTTAGGCAGAAAGAAAAACCAAAGGGATTCAGTTTGTATTTTTGTATTTCTGCAATGGTGGCTACTGCAATAATCAACTTATGTAAAAGCTTATGTTGACTGTACCAAGTAAATACTAATATCAATCATAAAGATAGTGATGGGAGCTGAACCCTTGATTGCTTTGGTATAGGGAACTTCTAGATGAAGAAACTACAAATGCAGATTGGTACCTTCTCTATGCCATATAATTATTAGAGGAAGGACTTGAACCCAGGTTTTCCAGGGTTCCTTCAAAGGCAGATCTCTATTCATAATGCCACACTGCATTTCATAATGTAGATCATATTTGAAAAATATGGTATTCAATATTTGAATGATAATATACTTGAGCCAATTCATGAACATGAGCCAATTCATGAAGCACCATACTTAAGTCTTATTGATAAATATGAGAGAAAAGGGAAGAAAGATTTCCTACTACTTTTTAGATTGTTTAAATTTAAATAGTAGTTTATTTTTTTCCCAATTACATATCAATAAAAATTTTTAGCATTCATTTTTACAAGATTTTGAGTTCGAGATTTTTCTCCCTCTCTCACTCCCCTCTCCTCTTTTGAAAATGGTAGGCAGTTTGATGAAGTTTATACATGTGCTGTTGTGTAAAACATATTTCCATATTCGTCACAGTTGTGGTAGAAGAAACAGAACAAAAGGAAATAAAACCATGAGAAAGAATAAAGTAAGTGAAAAAATATGCTTTGATCTGTGTTCTGAGTCCATCGGTTCTTTATCTGGATATGGATAGCATTTTCCTTCATGATTCCTTTGTACTTGTCTTGGATCTTTCTGTTGCTGAGCATTCATAGTTGATCATCACATGATGTTGCTGATACTGTGTACTTCATTTTCCTAGTTCTGCTCATTTCACTTTGCATCAGTTTGTACAAGTCTTTCCAGGTTTTTCTGAAATCTGCCTGTTCATCATTCTTATTGCACAATAATATTCGATTTCATTCATATACTACAGCTTGTTTAGCCATTCCCCAATTGATGGGCATCCCCTAAATTTCCAATATTTTTCCACCACAAAAAGGGGTTGCTATAAATATTTTTGCACATGTAGGTCCTTTTCCCTTTTTTTATGATCTCTTGGATACAGACCTAGTAGTGGTATTGTTGGGTCAAAGGGTATGCAATTTTTATAGCCCTTTGGGAGTAGTTCCAAGTTGTTCTCCAGAGTGGTTGTATCAGTTCACACCTCCACCCACAGTGCATTAGTGTCCCAATTTTCACATATCCTCTCCAACATTTGTCATTTTCCTTTTTTGTCATATTAGCCAATCTGATGGGTGTGAGGTGGTATTTCAGAGTTGTTTTAGTTTGTAATGCTCTAATCATAAGTGCTTTAGAGCACTTCTTCACATCCTTTGACCATTTATCAATTGTAGAATGGCTTATATTCTCATAAATTTGACTTAGTTCTTTATATATTTAAGAAATGAGGCCTTTATCAGAGACATGTGCTGTAAAAATTGTTTCCTAGCTTTCTGCTTTCCTTCTAATCTTGGTTGCATAGGTTTTGTTCATACAAAAACTTTTGAATTTAATATGATCAAAATTATCTGTTCCACATTTTGTATTTGTTCCACATCTGTCTCTTGTATGGTCATGAATACTTCCTCTCCCATTAGATCTGACAAGTAGTCTGTTCCTTGCTCTTTTAATTTGATTGCTTCATTGTCTATGGTACTTTTTAACAAGATGTAATTTCCTTCCTTATATCTTTTAATTAGGTCTATTTTTGCTTTTACTTTGTCTAAGATCTCAGCTGAAGCATAAGAGATTCTGCTCCAGCCCCATACCTTTACTGTGTGTGTCTCTCTTTGCTTCAAGTGTGTTTCTTGTAAGTAACATATTGTAGGATTCTGGGTTTTGATCTACTCTGGTATCCACTTCTGTTATATGGGAGAGTTCATCCCATGCACATTCACATTTATGATTGCTGCCTGTATATTTCCCTCCAACCTATTCTTCCGCCTGTTTGTCCTCTCTCTCCTTTCACCCTCTCCCACCTCACCAGTGTTTTGCTTCTGTTTATCACTTCCCCGATCTACCCTCCCTTATGTCAACCCCCACCTCTGACCCCAGCCTTAATCTCCTCCCCTCCTACTTCCCTATCAGAGAAGACAGATTTCTATATTCAACTGATTTTGTATATTATTCCCTCTTTGAGCCAATACTGATGAGAGTAAGGTTCAAGCGATGTCCATTGCCCACCTTCCCATCTTCCCCGCCACTGTAAAAGGTCTTTCTCGCATCTTCATGCGAGAGAATTTGCTCCATTCTACCTCTCCCTTTCTTCTGCACCCTTTGCACTCTCTCATCCCTTAATAATTTTTTTGTCATTCCCTCAAATTCATCTTCTACTCATATCATCTGTCTATGTATATTCCTTCTATCTGTACTGTTAGTAATACAACTTTTAAGAGTTACAAGTATCCTCTTCCCATGTAGGGATGTAAATAGTTTGGCTCTACTGAATCCCTTATTTTCTTTTCCCTTTTTAGCTGTTTATGCTTCTCTTGAGTCTTGATATTGAGGTCAAATTTTTGGTTTAGTTCTGGTCTTCTCCTTATGAAGGCTTGAAATCCTTCCATTTCATTGAATGACCATTTTTCCCTTGATGTATTATGCTTATTTTTTCTAGATAAGTGATTCTTGGTTGTAGTTCTAGCTCCTTTGCCCTCCAGAATATCATGTTCCATGACCTCCGATCCTTTAATGTTACAGCTGCCAGGTCCTATGTGATCCTGTTTGTATCTTCCCTGTATTTCTTTCTGACCACTTGCAGTATTTTTTCCTTGACCTAATAGTTGTGAAATTTGTCTATAATGTTCCTTGGAGTTTTTATTTTGGCATCTTTCTCCTGAGGTGATTAGTGGATTCTTTCAATGCCTATTATACCCTCTGGTTCCAGGACATCAGGGCAGTTTTCCTTGGTAATTTCTTGAAAGGTGCTGTCTAGGTGCTCTCTTTGATTATGACTTTCAGGTAGTCCAATGATTCTGATATTGTCTCTCCTGGATCTATTTTTCAGTCGGTTTTTTTTTTCCCAAGAGATATTTTACATTTTCTTCCATTTTTTCATTCTTTTGCATTTGATTGATTCATGATGTCTCATAGAGTCATTGGCTTCCACTCGCCCAATTCTAACTTTTAAGGTGTTGTTTTCCTCAATTAACTTTTGTACTTTCTTTTGTACATTAGGCCAATTGTACTCTTTAAGGAGTTGTTTTCTTCAGTGGATTTTTGTATCTCCTTTTCCATTTGGCCAATTCTACTTTTTCATCAGTTTTCCAAGCTGTTGACTCTTTTTTTCATAATTCTCTTGCGTCGCTCTCATTTCTTTTCCCAGTTTTTTTCTATGTCTCTTACATGATTTTTAAGCTCCTTTTTGAGCTCTTCCATGAGGTCTTTCTGGGCGTGAGACCCCTTCCCATTTTTCTTTCGGGTTTTGCCCACAGGTGTTTTGTCATTGTTGTCCTCTTCTGAGTTTGTGTCTTGGTCTTCTCTGTCACCATAATAACTTCCTATGGTCAGATTCTTTTTTTTTTTGTTGTTGTTTGCTCATCTTTTTTTCGCCTTTTTCCTTTCTTTTAAATTTGAACTCTGCTCCCAGGGTGGCAGGGGCACTGCCTCCGTCTTCTTGTGCTACTGGCTATAGGCTCTTGCTGTTTAACCTGGTGCTGCGCTGATGTGGTTCTAAGGCCCATGGGCAACTCTAGTGTCTGGTGCTGTGCTGAGGGCATGGAGTGGGTGGGGGTTGACTGGCACTTCTGGAAGCCAGAGGGGTCTGGCAACTTACCTGGTGCTAAGTTGGGGTCCTAGTGGTGGCGTCTGGAGTGGTGGGAATGCAGAAACATCCCACCAGAGGCCTGCATTTCCCTGTGGCTACGGTGAGGTACATGGCGGTCAGGCCTCTGGAGGCTGCCTGTTTGCCTCGGGTTATGGTGGTTCTCAGAGCTGAAGTCTGCTGGTTCCCCTGGCTATACTAAGACATGTGGAGGGTTCTGGTGTTGGTGTTTGCCTGCTCCACCACATTGGGGCTCAGGATCTCCCATTGGTTTGCGGAGGTGGAGCTTGCTGCTGGCTTGCTGGGATGCTTCCTCTCCTGGACTGTGCTCCCCTTTCACCCAAGTGAGACAGACCTTTCTTGCTGATCCTCCAAGTTTCTTGGGCTAAAAGATTGTTTCATTCTGTCTTTTTGCTGGTTCTGCTGTTCTAGGATTTATTTGGGGGCTCTACTTTATAGTTGTTTGGAGGTGAGTATGGGAGAGTTGCAGCAGTTTACTGCTTGGTCTGCCATCTTGGCTCCTGGGAGTCAGATTTCCTTCTGCTTTTAATATAAATATAATATTGAGCAAATCAGCATAGTCACTTGCAAGTCAGACATCATGGAAATAGAATACAGGCACCAGGAAATGTAGCAGGTTTGTATAAAGGGCAGTATAGATTTGAATGTGTCGTGGGGAAGCTTAAAATTTAGAATTAAAGACTCTTAAACTTGGAAGGGACCTATAGGTTACTTAGTCTAATGGAGTGGTCACTTGTCCACAAGGTTCCCATCATTTAGTGAAATTAGTATCTTATTTGCTATTTATACTCTAATGCACATAACTTTCATTATACAGCTAGATAAACATTCTATTTTACCCAAATGATTTGTTATCCCATTCAGTAGAGTAGGTGTTCCAGACTTTTTCATAAACCCTACTTTCTCATCTTCAGATCTTGCTTCATACTTCACTTAAAATATTGAAACTATTCACCAAGAGCTTCCTTGTTTTCAAAAATCTTTCCCTACTATATCTTTCTTCACACTGGCTTGGATCAAGAGCTGTCCTTTTTCCTTCTGAAACTAACTCCTCTAAATGAACTATTGATCCCATCCCCTCGTACTTCAACAGCATATTGCCCCCATTATCACCCCTCCCATCTTCAATCTCTCCCTAATTACTGGCTTCCTGCCACTTATACACATGCCCATGCCTCTTTTATCTTTAACCCTTGCCAACTCATTTTATCTATCTCCACAAGTTATTATCCTATATCTTACCTCCCCTTTGTGGCTAAACTTCTTGATGATGCAGACTATACTGGGTAGCACTACTTTCTTTTTTTTTTTTTTTTTTTTTTGGTGAGGCAACTGGGGTTAAGTAACTTGCCCAGGGTCACACAACTAGTGTAAAGTGTCTGAGGCCAGATTTGAACTCGGGTCCTCCTGACTCCAGGGCCAATGCTCTATCCACTGTGCCACCTAGCTGCCCCCACTTTCTTTTCTCTTACTTTTTTCTTAACTATGCACTCTGGCTTCCAGCTGCATCATTCAACTGAAATTACCCTCTCCAAAATTACCAAAGATCTCTTAATTGCCAAATCTTACAGCTTTTTCTCAGTCTTCATCTTTATTGACTTGTCTGCAACTTTTGACACTGTTGATCACTTTTTCCTTTTTCATTAGTTTTTTTTTTTTAACACTGCTTTCTCTTAGTTGTCTGACTATTCTTTTTCAGTGTTCTTTGCTGGTTCTTCATCTGTGTTATGCCACTAACCACGGATGTCCCTGAAGAGTATGTTCTTGGCCTTCTCTTCTCCCTCTATACTATTTCCCTTATTGATGTCATTAGCCTCCAAGATTCAATTATCATCTCAATACAGATGATTCTATACATCCCTTCCAAACTTCTCTCCTGATTTCCAGTCTTATGTCATGAACTGCCTTTTGGACATTAAGAATTGAATGTTCCTTAGGTTCCAAACATATCTTAAAATCAGCATATCCTCAAACAGAACTCATCTTTCTCCTTAAACCCTTCTTTCTTCCCAACTTGCCTATCCCTGTTGAGGGTAGGGTACCACCATCTTCCCAGTCACATAGGCTTACAACCTTAAGGTTGTCCTCTACTCCTCACTCTCACCTCACATATCCAATACATTGTCAAATCTTATAATTTCTACTTTCACAATATCTCTTTATATATCTCCTTCTTTCCCCTCACATAACCACACTTCTTACATGTGTGAAATAGATAAGGATGATTAGAGTTTCTAATCACATTTAAATAATGATTTGATTCTGACCTTAAGGAAAAAGAAATATTCTAATTTGTGCTCTCAATCTGCAGTTAAACGATGATGATTTTAACTACAAGTAACGGTGTATGGGGGCCTAAGAAAGACAGTTCAGTACAGGATTGGTCCCTTGGACTTAACCCAGTTGTAAAACAAAACAGAAAACAAAAGTCACTGCCACTGGCTACATTAATGCTTTTTGTTTGTTTTTGTTTTAACATAGAAGCCTGGTTCAAGACCTGTTTGCCAGATCACATCAGATTGTGTTGGATTAGATGGATTTCTCCATCCATTTAGATTTATTGGCCATGATTTTCTACTCTGAACTAAAAGGAAAAAAATGGGAACGTACCTTAGTGGATCATCAAAGCGAACTGTAGCTGCACAGTGGAAGATGATATTGGTATGGCTCAGGAGCTCCTCTAAATCTTCCTTGCTGATGCCCAAATCTGGCTTTGTGAGATCTGAATAAATAGGTCTGATCTTCTCGAAGATATTTGGGCAAATTTCTTTGGCCTTTTCAAAAAGCTGAAACGTAGACGTAGGTCAATACATACCTCATCATTACCTAATTCTCCCTTTTGACATTTACTAAATTCGTTTTTGAAAATTGGCTGGCTTTCCTGATAAACCCAATAAAGAAAGCTATCATTGCAATTTTTAGAAAAGCGTTTACTCCACATCTGTTTTCTGTGTTCCGTATGCTCTAAACCAGATAAATAGCTTTTTAAAAATTATAGATAGCTTTTACCTGGACTGAAAAAGCTCAAAACGTATGCCTTACTCATTGCATATCAGCATAGTGATAAGACATTCAACCAGATTCCCTAATCACCCTTAAAATAAGCAGCACAAATATATAGGATTCCTATGCAGCTTCTAATTGAGAACATAATTTCTAAGGCATGCAGCAGGAAGATGGTTGAATTTACTGTCAAAGGCCTCGGGTCTGAATTTTGGCCCTGTTGTTTACTCCACCTTGGCCAAATTATTTAATCTCTCTGGCCTGTTTTCTCATCCATAAAACGACGAGGATGACCTTAAGATTCTCTTAAGCTCTCTAAGTTTCATATCCTATGATCAGGTACCTACGCCCTTGGACTCAGAGCAATATGATATGAACTAACTGGGCTAACCTACCCTAGAATAAGAATTATACATGGATGAGGCAGTCACGGTGAGGGGAAGGAGCACTAGATCCAGAATCACAGTCAGGATCAGAATCAAAAGACCTACGTTCAAACCCTAGTTTTGTCACTTACTTCCCAGACACATCATTTGCTTTTTCTGCGCCTCTGAAGCAATTGGGTGAAGGAATCAAGTCCCAGATCTGATGATAACTTGCTATGTGACCTTGGGCAAGTCACTTAACTATTATCTCAGCTTCCACGTATGTAAAATGAGAGGAGTGGATTAGATGTGATGAGATCTAATCTAATGGATTAGATGAACTCTCTCCAATCTCTTTTTCTTATTTTTTTTGGGGGGGGAGGGGTTAGGCAATGGGGTTAAGTGACTTGCCCAGGGTCACACAGCTAGTAAGTGTTATGTGTCTGAGGCCAGATTTGAACTTAGGTCCTTCTGAATCCAGGGCCGGTGCTCTATCCACTGTGACACCTAGCTGCCCCCTCTCCAATCTCTTTTAACTTAAACATCTTAGTCATAATGCTAAAAAACTAGGTTCAGAAGACTTGTGTTTGAATCATAATTCTGCCGCTATATGTATAGGGAGCCATGTGACTTCCCGTAAGTGACTTGAGCAATCTGAGCCTCTGTTATTTCTCTGTAAAACAGACATAGCATTAATAATCATACTACACATTAAATAATTCATGAAAAGTGTTTTATAAACATTAAAGGATTATTTAAATATAAGTTTCTGTTAAGAAGAATACTGGCATTATTCCCATTATTATGCAGATGGAATTATTGTTATTGAGATTAATTTGTTCTTTTTTCCCCTTACAAAATTCTTTGGGCAAATTGCCAGTTTTCACTTTCCAAGAAATATACATTTTAAAAAATAAAATTTTATTGAAATCTTTTTATACTGCATACATTTCCTAATATATCCCTTCTTACTTCCTTCTCAAAGCCATCAATTAAAACAAAGAATAAAAAAGAAAAGAAAAGGCAGTCCAGAAAAACCACCCAAGATATTAACAAAAGTTTGACATTTTTTTTAGTTTAGTTTTTTTTTTTTTATAACCATAGACCTCTACCTCAACATAGAAAGAGTGTGTGTATGGGGGTGTCTTTGTTGTTCAACTACAATTATTCCTTTTTTAAAAACCTAAATTCTTCTTAATTCATCTTACATATATAAACACACACACAAATACAGTCTATTAATAAGAAATAATGTTCTTGAATTTAACAGTATGAGCAAATTGCTACCTTGCAATTTCCTTGGAGGTGCCTAAGTTAATCCTCTATAATTTCAAATGAATGATTAGATGGATGGATAAATTAGTACAAGAGAAGCAATGAGTTTCTTTATGGGAGTAAGTAGAGCACTAAGGATTCCCTGAAGTACAGGGAGAAGAGTTGGGGATAGTTAAAAGACGTGAGTGTATTTAAGTATATAATAGTAATAATATTTTACTTTTACATATCGCTTTCATACTTGCAAAGCAGTTTACATACATTATAGCTTTGGACCCTCATAACAAAACTCAGAGGTAGATATTATGGGAATTAATGTCTCTATTTTACAATGTCAGAGGCAGGATATAATTCATAATAGCAGTTTTGTGGTAACCAAAAACTGAAACCATCATTTGGGAAAAGGCCGAACAAATTGTGGCATATGGTGTATGATTGTGCGTAAGATGTCCAAAGAAACTTTGGAACATGTGAATGAATGAACTGCTGAAGAACAAGCAGCACCAAGAGAACAATATATACAATGACCACAATAATGTAAGGGAAAACAACTCTAAAAACAAAAACTCAGATTCATTTCCTAACCAAGAAATAGAGTTTAGAGGAAGGAAAAGGATACAATAACTAAAACTGCAGCGTAGTAGGTTATACTGAGCATTGTATAAATTCCACAGGTAACACTTTAGACCAGTATCAGAATTCAAAACCACAAGGACAGATAATTTCTGTCCCAAAGATGCATGATTCCAATCTGATTAAGGATTTCTGCTAATGAGATTGAACACCTGGTAAAAGATATGCTCTGCAGACATAAATGACCTGCTTTGGTAATGTAACAAAAATCCTCCATGAGAAATTTTATGTTACCAAAAAAAATTATCTGCAAGGAAAAGTACAGGTTAAGAAAAAGTATAATTTCTAGTGTTATAGCTAAAGTTTCTGCGAAAAAATATACCTCCTCAGAGTACAAGCAAATTATTCCTTCAAGAGCAAAGTATTCCAAAGTTAAGGAATTGAACGACTACCTGTTTTTGGCAAACTTTGCCAGGCAGATTTTAGCCTGCACATTTTATGCAATTATTTTCATGACAAAATCCAGAATTTGCATCTGAAATGATAACACTGGAAGCTTCAGTTTTGACATGGCAACAGTTTCAAAAAGTTCTCTTGTAGAGAGTAGTGAAACTATACTTTAGGGTTATTTTTTTTTTCTTTTAACTTGCTTTTGAACATGATGAACTATTCTATTTATAGCAACAGTATTGAAGTCCATGGCCAAGACAGAAAACCTGCCAAGGCAATAATAAAGTTAATTCAGAAGAATGAGAAAGCTGGTTTTTCATTTCAAGAACCTCTGTCTCTACTCCTGCTAGATACTTAATATGTTTACCCATGTATAAGCTAGCAATTGTGATGACAGAAAGAATTTAAAAAAAACATTAATATAATTCTCTTGGTAGAGTTCTCAGTAGATACCCACATCCTAAGGGCTGACTAAAATGCTGACTGATTTCTTGTCTCCTGTGAACTTTGATATTTTTTCCCCCAGTGGCTCTTATATGTAGCCAGTCTCTTCCTCCAGTGAAAGTTCAATTACCAACCAAAGGGACTTTTTTATGTCATAATCATTTTCCACTCCCTTTCCATAGTGAATATTCTGTGACTAAAAAAAAAGATTAAGCAAATACATCTGATACAGCTATGAGATGATATCTGAAAACATGTACAATATTCTGGTATAGTAGAGGAAGTATGTTTCATTATCTATTCTCCAAGACCTTCATTGGCTTTCAGTTACTTGTTTAAATTCCTTTCATGAACCTTTTCATTTACCTTGGTAAAGTCATTGTGAATATTGTCCTTGATACTGTTTATTTTAATTTTTCATTATTACTTATTATATAGTAACATCCCCTTACATTCACAAACCATAGTTTTTTTCTCATCCATTCTTTATCAATGGGCACCCCTTTTGTTTCCAATCCTTTGCTACCACAAAGTGCTACTGTGAATATTTTGGCATATATTAAATTTTTCTTTCTGTTTTTGACTTTTTTTGTAGCATATATATGCCCAAGATGCTGAATCATTGGGTCAATGGTATGAATACTTTAGTCATCTTTGATTTTGTTTGAATATACCAATTTTCATTTGTCTTATCGAATTTAATTTTGTTTTCTTATTATCTTTCTCTAGCATACCAGTGGAATCCTTCTTTTATATTAGCCTTCATTCCTCCAATGGTTTTTTTTACCATTAGTCTTAATAAAGATGCTATTAGTTTTGTCATCTGTGATAAATCATCATTGATAACAAAAACAGTCACTGTTTAGCCAAAGACTGATTCTGTGGCACTTCACCTTGCATGATCCCTCAAGGGTTATAGTGAAATATTGACAATAGCCTCCTCCTTATGAATTAGTTCCATAAACCTATAGAAAGTATTTTAAAATAATTTTCTTATTTATAGGATTTGAAAGGGACCTTGGAGAATATCCAGATCAACTAGTGCCAGTACTCCCCAGAACAAGTGTGGTCTCATCCAGTAGAATGTGAGCTCCTTGAGTGCAAGGTCTGTTTTACTTTTCTATTTGTAGCACTAACACTTAACAGAGTGCTTTGCATATAGTTAATTCTTCATTTATTCTTGGATGCTCCCTTTCCCCACTGTTATTTGAAATAGTTCTCAAAATGCTAGCAATAGTATAAGACAAGAGAAAGAAATTAAAGGCAGAAAGACAGTTAAAGGGGAGACAAAACTATTTGCTGACATGATACTTAGAAAATCCTTAGCCAGGAAACTAATTGAGACAATTAATAGCTTCATTAATATAGAACACTATAAAAAAGCCTGCAAAAATAAAGAGCATTTCACAAAGAGTCCAACACAACTGAATGACTGAACAACAACAACAGACAAGGTTTATGATGTGATTATTTGAAGGACTATTTTGTGTAAGAATGAGATTTCTTTTTCTTGGCCTCAGAGTAAAGAACAAAGACCAATAAGGTAGAAGGTGAAGGAAGGTAGAATTCAATTTGATATAAGAAAATATTTCCTAAAATAATTGGGGGTGACCTGCCAATATGGGCACAAACCTTAGAGCATGTGCAATATGTTCTTCCTGGTACCATCCTACAAG